ACTTATTCTATTTTTGCTAAGTCTAATTCCTGATATATTTGTATCTTTACCATCCTATTTTGTGCTTTTTATATGTTTGAACCTTCAATATTTCTTTTTTTCTCTGTTTTCATCTACTGTTGTATTGATTATTTTTTGTTTTCCACTTTTTCCTTTTTAGTTAAAAAGCTACACACCCTTAAGATGGTTATGAAAGCTACACACCCTTAAGATGGTTATGCTAAAAATTTTAACTTGGATACTTAATATCTTTACCATTCTCCCAAACAATAAAAAGAACAGAATATTTAACTCTGATTATTCCCCTCCCAACTTACATGTTATATATAGACTAGAGGCCTGATGCACGAAATTCATGCAAGAGTAGGCCTTCCTTCCCCTGGCTACAGGCACCAGCTTCCCTCTGAAACCCGGGACCCGGGCTTCCCTTGCAGCCCTGGCTTCATCTGGAAGGTCATCTGGAGGGACGTCTGGGAGGACGTCTGGTCTAATTAGCATAGTATGTTTTTATTATTATAGATGGCTATGTATTTCATTTCTAGCTAGCTTTTTTAACCTCTTAAGAGAATACTATTGTGTTGTTTTTAGCCAATATTTATTTGCAATTAACCACATATTTAGCACTTTTTTCACTCTTCATTCTTTATTCATCTCTAACCTCCCATGTGTTCACTTTCTTCCTACCTAGAGAGCTTTAGAATTTCCTTTAGTGAGGGTCTATTGGTGGTGGCAAATTCTGTTTTTGTTTGCTTGTTTGAAGATGTCTGATTTTTTCATTGTTCTTAAAATATACAAATTTAGGTCAACAGAAATTTTCTTTCAGCATACTGAAGATTTTAAATTTTTTCTGACTTCCATAGTTGATACGAAGTCTAATTGTTGTCCTGATGAAAGTAATGTCTTTTCTTTCTCTGGCTGCTTTTAAATTTTTTCTTTATCATATTATTTGATATTTGTTTTATACCTCAGCATGTAATGAGAATGTTTCTAAGTGTAAATTTCCTTTTACTTAACAATATTGGAATTGTTGGGCTTTTTGAATCTATAGTTTGTCATTTCTTGGGAATTCTCAGCCCATTATGTCTTCAATTATTGCTTTTATTCCTTCTGGCCTCTACTGTCTTCTTGGAATTCCAATTAGGTATTGTTATATTTCTTACAATATCTCCATAATTTATAATCTCTCTTTCATATTTTCCACATCTTTGGGATACATTATGTAAAAGAAAATTTTTTTAGATCTCTCTTTCCTAATCTGTTCTCCAGCTGTGATTATTCTGCTATCAATCCACCCATTGTGCCCTAGCTGGTTTAGCTCAGTGGATAGAGCATCAGCCTAAGGACTGAAAGGTCCCGAATTAGATTCTGGTCAAGGGCGTATGCCCGGTTTCAGGCTCAATCCCCAGTAGGGCAGCAGGAGGCAGCCAATCAATGATTTTCTCTCATCATTGATGTTTCTATCTCTCTCTCTCCCTTCCTCTCTGAAAATGAAATCAAATAAAAATACACCATTGTGTTTTTAATTTTGAATTTATATTTTAAACTTCTAGTGGTTCTTTCGAGTCTTTTTCAAAAATGCTGGGTCATGGTTTATGCATATTGTCAATCTATTCTCTTATTTCTTTTTTTTTTATTCTCTTATTTCTTAACATATATTTAACATACTTAGTTTATATTCTATGTCTAGTAATTTTTTTAAAATATATTTTTTATTGATTTTAGAGAGGAAAGGAGAGAGGGAGAGAGAAACATCAATGATGAGAGAGAATCATTGATTGGCTGCCTCCTGCACGCCCCCCCACTGGGGATCAAGCCTGCAACCCAGGCATGTGCCCTTGGCTGGACTCGAACCCGGGACCCCTCAGTCCGCAGGCTGACACTCTATCCTTGAGCCAAACAAGCTAAGGCCCATGTCTAGTAATTTTAATAGCTAATGTTTTGCAATCTAATTCTGTTGTTTGTTGCTTCTGCTGGCCCTTGCTTACGGTATATTATTTCCTTTACTATTTTGTGATTTTGACCATGACCTTGTATTTCTTTAGTGTTTATTGATGAAAACTCTTTGAGGCCTGTGTTGAAGATGGTACCTCCAGGACAGATTTGCATTTGTTTCTGCTAGGCACCCAGGAACTACACGTACAGGTTTACTTTACCCTTAATGCTTGACTTGAGTGTTTTTGGACTGCCAGGTGAGGTGTGAATTGGGGCTGCAAGCCTGTATGAATGCCGATTATGTGCAAATTCTCAGGGGGCATATTTCTTCTCTCCCTCCATTTAGAGTCAGTTCCCAAGGCAGACAATTTTCCTTGCAATTTTCTGGAGGTGGAGGGAAAATGGTAGGTTTATTTGTAATTCATCGTATAAAAAGGGGGTAGTCTTTTGGGGACCCAGCTTTAAGCAGAGGCAGAGGGGTCCACTTCTCACTTTGAAGACATTCACTCATTTGACAAATGCCCTCAAGGCAAAAGCCTCTCCTCTCAGGTTTTGCTTATTTCCTGGGTTCCCCCTTGCATTTAGTCCTGGCCTCTAATAAGTATTCCTTATTTTTTTAAAAATATATTTTTATTTATTTCAGAGAGGAAGGGAAAGGGAGAGAGACAGAAATGTCAATTATGAGAGAGAATCATTGCTCGGCTGCCTCCTGCACACCCCACACTGGGGACTGAGCCTGTTACCCAAGCATTTGCTCTGACTAGGAATTGAACCGTGACCTCTGGATTCATAGGTCAGCACTCAACCACTGAGTCACACTGGCCCAGCAAAGTATTCCTTATTTTTGCTGCCACCATAAAATGCATTTCAACTTTGTCAACTAGTTTAAGTTGCTTTCAGTGAGAGGATTGTTCAGGATATCTAGTCTGTCATATTGCCAGAAATGAAAGTCCCTCTACCTCTCCCTGAGGGTTAAGAGTTGTTCTCAAGGCTTCTTTCCTGGGTCTTCCTCTCTCCTTCGTCTACATGCTCTCTCCCCCAGTCATTTTTTAAAAAAATATATTTTATTGATTTTTTACAGAGAGGAAGGGAGAAGGATAGAGAGTTAAAAACATCAATCAGCTGCCTCCTGCACACTCCCCACTGGGGATGTGCCCGCAACCAAGGTACATGCCCTTGACCGGAATCGAACCCAGGATCCTTGAGTCCGCAGGCCGACGCTCTATCCACTGAGCCAAACCGGTTAGGGCCCCAGTCAATTTTTTAAAAATATGTTTTTATTGATTTTTTTAGAGATGAAGAAAGAGCCATTGAGAAGTTTTGAGTATGAGAGCAACATAATCCAATGAGTGTTTTAAAAGATTATTCTGGCTGCAATAAGGGTAACATATAAATAGGGCAAGAATATAAATTAGGAGGTTGTTGCAGGAAACCAAGTGAGAGCTCACAAATAGCTAAGCCAAGACAGTGAGGATGTGGATGAACAAAAATCAGGTGAATTTGAAAAATATATAGGATGTTATGAAAAAAAAAAGAGCATCAGCAAGCTGCTCAGCGACTGGTTTTGGCTCCTGAGAGGATGGTGGAGCCCGTCTCTCAGAAAGGGATACAGAAAGTGGGTCAGCCATTGGGGAGTCAGCTCAGTTTAGAATGTTGTGGAGCAGGGCTTTTTGTGCCCTACTTTCTGCCCTGTTGGCTCATCTGTCATTTCCATGCAGCTGTGGGGAACAGGTTCCTGTATTCTGACAGCATCCTACCTCTACTTTTCTGCCTCACAACTTTCTCCACACCTGGGGAAGTTCATTAAAACTGGAAACGGTACAGGCCAGAGGTGCCCCAAATTACCATTTCCTGGAGACAATCTTCAACCAATGGGAGCTGGTGGATAATGCTCCAGCCTCCCTTCCTTTAGAGCAAGGGTGGGGAGCCTTTTTTCTGCCAAGGGCCATTTGGATATTTATAATAGCATTCAAGGGCTTTACAAAATTATCAACTTAAAAATTAGCCTGCTATATTTGGTCAAATGTTTAATTAACTCACCCCTAATGCCTTGGCAGCGCCAGACCAAATGATTTCCTGGGCCTTATATGGCCCGAGGGCTGGACGTTCTCCACCCTGCTTTAGAGAGGCAATTCTGTGTCACATGGACAGTGAATACCAGTCTATGTCCACAACATTTACCAGCTCAGTAATACATCCTTTACTGTCTTCCCCTCCTTCTGTATCTTAATATTCCTGCTCCATCACTCCTGCTTCCTGGATTATCTTCCCAAAATAAACTTCATGCATCTAATCCTTTATTTTCAGGCTCTGCCGGAAGGAGGGAAATCCAAACTGAGAATCATTCAGTGAGAACAGAAGGGGGTCCATGAAGGAAACTTGAGGAGCTTTAGGCACAGGCAGAGGAAAACAAGAAGACTGAGAAACAGGAGACCAGAGACAGGAGAAGGACCAAGAGAGTTTGCAGCCGTGAAAACCCAGGGAAGGGGAAGATTCAAGAAACAGAGAGTGGTCAGAAGTATTAAATGCTACTGAGAAGTCAAAAAAAGTATAGAGAAGTAACCACCAGATTTAGCAAACAGAGGTCATCTGTGACTCGGTGAGAAAACAATTCTAAAAGCATGTTGAGGCTGAAGCTAGGTTATAAGTGAGTTTGGCGGGGAAGTGAGAATATGAAGAGAGTTAATATGGGGAACTCTTTTAGGATGTTTGGCTTAAAGATGAGAGAGATGTGAGCCTGTTAGACTGTCTAGGGCTAGGCTCATAATAAGCAGCTAGGCAGAGAAAGAGGTTGAAGGTAGGTAGGAGAGAGCGTGGAACAATGAAAATAACGAATTTCTGAAAAAGAAAGGCAAGGGTAATTCCAGGTAGATAGACTAGATTCAGTTTGAAGGAGGGCATGTTTTCCATTGAAACAATAACATGGTTACTTGTCTATTTCAAAGATGATTATCAGTAGACAACTGCCTTCTTCTTTTGCATTAAATTGTTTTTATCTGATAAATTTTAATTGAATTTAACTGTTGGTAATATTTGATAACATATAATATGCCCATCAGCAAACTTACTTGATGCTGCCACAATATTAAGATTGGAGTCCTTCAGATGTTACGTGTGTATTTGCTTGATGGTCTGTGAAAAACATGTGTTGCTCAGGTAAGGGAGATAAAGGGAAGCATCATTAAATGTCAGCCTAGCAATCTGGCATTATTTGACCCCATCTGCCTTTTTCGGGAAAGTCAGCAAGTAATTTACTGCTTTGTGGTCTGTTTCTCATTTATAAACTGGGCCTAATATAATAGGTATTTATAATATAATTTATTCCTAGATATTATTCACAAATTGAGCTTGCCTAAATTAAACCTTTATTGTCTATAAGGTTATAAATGAAGAAAGTATTCTGGAAGACCCATTTAAAAATACCAAAATCGATCGTGAAAAGACAAATACATGTTTTTCCAATGAGCTAAGCTTGTGAAGAAAATGTCAATGTTTTAAATAATCATCTTGGAGAATTCTTCTTTTATCAACTGGCTGAGGTTTCTTAAAATACCAGTGCAAAGAGGTTCTAACTAAAGATATTTTTCTGATAAATCTCCCTGACACAAGTAAATGTTTCATTGCTCTAAGGACCTTCAAACTGTGATCAAAATTAGGGCCATCTGCCTAAAAACTATCATTGCAGATCCAGTGGGTAGAAATTATTTTGAAAGTTAAAGTTTTTCTTATTGCTGTGCTCTCTTCCTTTTCTCCTCCGCCTGCATCTCCTCATCTCTGCTGCTGGTTTTATCATCATTAAATATGCACAGTACATAGTATCCTTCATCTTTAGCAGACTTTGTGGGCATATTATTTGATTATGCCCTTAACAGTTAATGTTTTGCCAACTGTATTCTAAAAGCAACCCAATGAGCTTTTGCTTGCAATAAAAACTTCTTCCTTTGATGTCTTGGGGTAGCTATTTTTCAATATAAATGGACAATGCTTTTGCAAGAGCGTTGACTAATTCAGATGCATATGGATTTGCTTCATCTATACCTACATTCATAAAATCAAAAGTTTTTCTACTTTACTCCTAGCACCAATCAATATAAGAGCAGCTTCGGCTATCTTGTAACCTAGGCAGTCACAATGGCGATATTTGGCCAATACTGAGGGGAGTCTATTTACAATAATAAAGGTCATAATCGCAGTGGTCTAAAGTGAACCTATTGTGAGTCAGGAGCCATCTGTACCCTTCTATCCATATTTATTGTGAGGATTAAGAGTATAAAGTGCTTTAAAAACTGCAAAATCTTATACAAATGGGAGGAATTATTATAATCCAAACCAGTATAATATATACAAAAACACCCAAACCAAACAGCACTAATGCATTGTTCAATACAGGTCTGTGTACTCAGAATTTGAAACACTTCTTTTTCCTAAAAACCACAGGCTTCTTCTTACTGAGTTAAAGAAGTATTTTGGTCAACACAGAAGTTTAACACCAAGTGAAAATCCACCCATGAGTAGGAAAGGAGCCATTCTCCCTCCAGCCTCCCTCCTTCTCCCCTCCATCTCTATACATTGCCTATACTTTGCCCTATGTTGGCCTTTTGCGGGGCTCACTGCTTGCCACTCGGGAATGATACCTCTCACCTCAGAGTTTTCAGGCTTGAAAACTTCTGACAGACACCTGTGAAAGCATGCAATAGCACCGTACCATTCAATTCTGAACCAGTCTCCCACCTCAGTGACAGACTGTTAAATAAAAACTTGTGCCCCGCCCAAAAGCTTTGAAAGGATCAGTGTTCCTTTTACTTACGTACAAAAGAAAGAAAGAAAATCCCAACTAATTTGTTATAAACAAAGCAATTTGAAATTCTACTCACCTACTGCAAAAAGTCAAGAGATCATTTTGCCACAAGACCCCCTATTAATGCCTTATGCGACGTTTGGGAAGGCTTCCGGAAATTCAATCTGGGTTTTGCTGTCCCCCCTACTCCTGTAGTGCAAAGTGCCGGATCAGAGCAGATAAACAAAGCCTCGAGGCAATGCCAAGCCATTTCTCTCTTAAATTTCCAAAGACTAACATAAGATGGGGATGTTGTGTACATTCATATGTATGAATTCAATAATGTTTATTACATTCCAGCCACACCTACATATGTTCTCCCCTTCTCTTAGTTGCCTGTGATTTGCTTCTAACATTTCTGATATCACTAGAACAACAGCTACAATAACAACCACAGGAATTTTCACTAGAACAAACATGATCAGAAACCCTCATCATGCTCCATAAAAGCTAAAATAAGGAAAAAATCGAAGAGAGTTTTAAGTAATATATGTTTCCCCTGAGCCCTACCATGATTCATTTCCATGCTTATTTCCATGGTTAGTTACTTGATAGTTCAGTCTCCATTAGAGACTAACCTGGGAGAGATGGACCTTTGGATATGACTTTGGTATGATGTTTCACAGTTTACATAGCTTACCTTTATGTTCATGATTTCCTTTCATCTGCACAAAACTGTTGGGGAGGTAGGTATTATTGCAAATGAAGGAAGTGAATCTCAGAGACTTCAACAGACACAGCTAGGAAGTAGTGACGCTCAAAACCAGACTATCTGACTCTACACCACCCCATGTTTCCTTAGGTAGATGGATACAAAGGTAACAAGACATAAGGAATGAGAAATGTTCAACTACAGAGAATATATAAAGATGAAAAAAGAGAGAATCAAAAAAACACATTAAAAGGACAGTCCTCAATGGGGAAAACAAAGGAGATATCTGTAATACTTTCAACAATAAAGATAAATTTTAAAAAATAAATAAAAGGACAATCCTAATTTTTATACACACAGACATCACTGTTCATAATTTTTTAAATTATAATTCTTTTTTATTTAACACGTCCCATGATGCTAATCAAGTGGAAAAATAAACAGAAGCCATTTAATAAATGTGTGTGTTTCTACCGATTTATTTGTGGTGTTATTAACATGGGAGCGGCTCATAGGCTATCTTCTCACACACAATAATTATTATTTACTGATGGCAAAGCTCTGTGGATGTGACTGAAGTGTCAGTGACATAAAGAAAAGCCTGTTTAAATGATCTGCAAAGCAGGGCCACAGCTGTAACTCTGCCCTGGCAGAGCCTGTCAAGTAAATAGCATGATCTTTTCAAACACAGCCATATTATTTTCTCCCTGGCATTTGTAATTTGTTAAAACTCTCAGTGTGCATGCCTTTCCTCCTAATAACAATGGCAAATGGCCAGTCTCTGTATTTATCTCTTGCACACACATCTATGTATATTGGAATGATATATATACATGAATGTACCTCACTGCAAATTTTACATAGCATTCTGTCACTGGGATGATCTAACCTATAATTCAGTGATGTAACACTCGGAAATGCCAAATAAAATAATTTTGTTTGAGATGCTACGAAAGTAGCCCAAGATCAACTGCTGGATCTGCTTAGAAAAAACAAACAAACATCATGATGCTTCAAAACTGCTATTTGGTTTTGTATGACACTCTACATCTGATATTTATAGGCTCAGTCTTCTTGCCAGAGCATCTGTCTGGGATCCCAGCCATTGTTTCCAAACGTATTTGTACCTTGGTAGATATGTGAATATCCAACAGCTTTCTAATTTAGAAATAATGGGTGGATTTTAATAACTTCTATTTTATTCATAATTTAAAGATTAGATGTTAGAACAGGAGCCACTTAACATCACTGCCAACAAAATTAATCTTTAATATAAATCCCTTTAGGCATGATTTTTCTCCCCATATAACTATACAATCTTGGGATTGGGTGGGATGGAGGGAGGGTAGAGGGTTAAGTACTCTACTCTTTGCACACTTTCCTCTCCTTTCTGGTGCTTCTCTTCTGATGTTAGGGCAGGAGGAGGAATGGGGAAGTAGATATCTTGCATGGCTCCCTTTCGGAAGATTGTAATTTTCTTTCTTTAGGGTGCTGCTTCTCTAGTTAACCCTGTCAGATTTTTGATGCTCTGTATACAGAAGCGACTCCAAGTTCTGGCTCCCTCATTGGTGAGGGTTCTTTTTTTAAAAAATATATTTGATTGATTTTTTACAGAGAGGAAAGGAGAAGGATAGAGAGTTAGAAACACTGATGAGAGAAACACTGATCAGCTGCCTCCTGTACACCTCCTACTGGGGATGTGCCCGCAACCAAGGTACATGCCCTTGACCAGAATCGAACCTGGGACCTTTCAGTCTGCAGGCCAACGCTCTATCCACTGAGCCAAACCAGTCAGGGCTGGTTAGGGTTCTTGAGGTGCCTCCCTGCTGCCCAGTTCCTGGAGGCATATCTTGCAGCTACTTGACCTCTTCCACAAGGGGTCAGCTGGCAGTCTCTCTTGGGGGTGCAATGTGAGCTACTGTGGTGCTCTTTCCCTCATCTAGGCATTTGGATATGACTTTGGTATGATGTTTGGTATTTCTCTCTGCTGCCCCCTTTCCTTGTCCTGGAATACAGAGCACTCTGCTGGTCCAGGATAAAGAAGAGATGTGACAATAACCAGTCTCCAAACTAGTAGAGGGGGAAGACTGAGCATCTCTCACCTTCATGAACAATTCTCTTAAGGGCTCTTTGAGAGGAAAAGGTATCTTCCATCTTCTCCTCTACAGTGAGAATGGGTGAAGGGAGAAATTGGAGTATCCTAATGAGTATTTTGCTTCACAAAAAGCTAACCCCCTCTCTATTCACCCTTCCCTTATATTTCAGGGAATAGGGGTGGGGTAGTTTGGGACTGTTTAGTGGTAGGGCTGTTTCCCTGTGTACTAGTCCCCCCTTATCCATGGAGAATATATTCCAAAACCCCAAGTGGATGCCTCAAACTACAAACCCTGTGTAGACTATGCTTTTTCCTATGCATATAAACCTATGATAAAGTTTAATTTATAAATTAAGCACAATAAAAGATTAATAATAATCCTATATAATAAAACCCTAATATGCAAATCGACTGAACTGCAGAACGACTGCTGGAATGACCGGTCACTATGAGACTGCTAGCTGACCCCTTATAGAAGAGGTCAAGTACACTGACCACCAGGGAGCAGATGCTCAATGCAGGAGCTGCCCCCAGCCTGCAGGCCCTGACCTGCAGCAGGGGGCGGGGCTGGCAAGTGGGTGGCACCAGGCCAGCCAAGGCGGGTGCGAGCAGGGGTCCCAATCACCCTACCGGTCGCCCCACAGATCAGCCCTGATCACCGGCCAGGCCTAGGGACCCTACCCGTGCACGAATTTTGTGGACTAGGCCTCTAGTAACTAATAATAAACCAGAACAATAATAACAATAGACTGTAATAAGAGTTATGTGAATGTGGTCTCTTTCCCAAATATCTTATTGTACTGTACCCTTCTTATAATGACATAAGATGATACAGTGCCAATGTGATTAGAGGAAGTGAGGTGAGTGGCATGGGATTATGATGTAACTTTAGCTACTATTGACATTCTAACAATCCATCAGAAGGAGGATCATCTGCTTTGGTGAACCTGGATCATCGAGCCATGACAAATGTTCATAGTTGGATGTACAGGTACTATTTTGGGACCAAGACTGACCTTCAGTAACTGAAACTGTTGAAAGTGAAAAGATGGATTAGGGGAGTGGGGTAGTAGACTGGCCTGACTACAGGGGGTTCCTGAACTTAAAATACATGAGCTCATCACCTTCTGTGCATAGCTTTGTAGCTCAGCCGAGGTCCAGGACATCCCTGTTGACCTCCTATTATACTTGTTTCCAACCACCTAGAACTTCTGTTAATCTTCACAGCATGTGTTGAAAAAAAAAAAGAAGAACAATTCTGTATTGACTAAAAAATACAGTAGGAAAGGGAATGGGATGCAGGAATAATTGCAATGATTTTCTATTTTACAAAGCAAATTTACCTCCAAGAAAATTTTGAGAGTTGTGTTATTCATCTACATAAATATAATAATTCAAATTTACCTGAACTCTTTACTTGTGTGTACACCTTCCATTTTAATACCAAATTGTCTATCAGATTTCTACTCTTACAACTTTGATGTAATTGGGGATCAAAACGGAGTATGACTAAGCAATGTACAGTAAGCTACTGAAGACAATGCATACTATGTGTTGAAAGCACAGAACCACAGTCCAAAATAAAAGGGTACAATGTATCAATATTTATGGGAAGGGGCAGGACAATATTTTATTATAGTCAATAAAATATAAAGATTAATTTTTTCCAGAAAGGAGAACAGAATTTATATTTTACATAGTGTAATATAAAAATATTATTAGTACGGTAATACTATTACTACTAAAAATGGAACTATTACTTATTTAATAAGATGGTCACTTGCTTCTAACCAGTATCACAATTCACTTGACAGATCTGAGGTTTCCTTAAGCAGGTTTTTCTTTACCAATCTCCCTGGGCTTGCCATTCCCATCTCCCACATAGTTGGATGCATGCAGTAGCAGCTTGCTATAACAGATGAACACTGTGGTAGGCTAAAACAAAGAAATGCCACAGAACCAAAAAACTATAATTAAATAGAATTTTAAAGGGGAAAATTTTTTCTAATAAAAATGCTCAGTGAGGATGTCTTTAAAGACTAGATATTAAAGTCAGCCTTAAAATATCACTTAATATAGTAAGGAAAATTCCTTTCATGAGATTTGACTTTCTATGTAATCCATAGTCTGGTTCTTTTTTTTATAAACCTTTGAATCTGTTGTGAATAAAATAGATTATACTAGAGATTCAAAAGGTTTTTTATTAGCCATCAACAACTTGAAGATTATTAGGTTACATTTCAGGTTATTTAGAATAAGATTTTTTAAAATATGAAACTGATGTGGAATCATATCATATTAGAACTGTCTCAGAGTTCATTTTAAGTCAATATATTGAATATCATGTTCACTTAAAAATATTGTTTGTAAACTCTTTATTAATATCAAGTAGGAAGAATTTATATCTTTATTATGCCTAGGAGTAATTTAAATAACTCCCCAAATCAGTTTCTTGTCACATAGTATAAT